TAATTTTTTGTATTTTTAGTAGAGACAGGGTTTCACCATGTTGACCAGGATGGTCTTGATCTCTTGACCTCGTGATCCACCCGCCTCGGCCTCCCAAAGTGCTGGGATTACAGGCGTGAGCTACCACGCCCGGCCTCTAATTTTTTTTTACTTATTTGAACCAGCATATTGAGAAAAGAGTATAGCAAAGAGACAGAACAATTTTCCTCAATCTAGCCATCTATTTGTTTTAAAAAAAAATTTATTTGGTAGATTTTAAGAGACACTGGTGGGATTATCTTTTTTAAAAGGAAGCTTAAAATAAGCATCATTAGTGATTAACATATTTTTTTAATTAGCTCTCTGTTGATTTTGGATGATATTTGGGACCCTTGGGTGTTGAAAGCTTTTGACAATCAGTGTCAGATTCTTCTTACAACCAGAGACAAGAGTGTTACAGATTCAGTAATGGGTAAGGATTATTCATTTACTTTTTAGTACCTTTATATTTAATTCAATTACGTTTAAACATGTGGCATACCAAATTACTTACTTTGTCTTGTGATTTTGTTTGCAGGCCCTAATTATGTAGTCCCTGTGGAGAGTAGCTTAGGAAAAGAAAAAGGACTTGAAATTTTATCCCTTTTTGTTAATATGAAGAAAGCAGATTTGCCAGAACAAGCTCATAGTATTATAAAAGAATGTAAAGGTATGGTTATTTTGTTTATGAGCGGGTTATAGGGATATTAATTTCCCTTTTGTAAATTAAGCTAATAAATATGATAATTTAGCACATGAACATACAAAAACTTTTCTGGGAGATTTAGTATTTTAGATTTTCCTCTGATACCTTAAATGGATACATGATATTATGGTATTTATTTATTTATTAAAATAATATTTACTGTCTATCCACAGTGTGTTAGAGACCACGTTAGCGAGAGAAGTAAGATAGATGTGACCTCTGCTGTCAGAGTTAAAAATATAGTGAGAGTCAGATTTAAGACTTGTTTTTGCTTGGGATTTTATAAAAATAGTATTCTAATTTGGTAAGTAAAAACTGGTTTCTTAATTTGCATTTTTTGTTAGTGAAGTTAAATTTTTTACTTGTTACTGAATATGTTTTAAGAAATTATCCTCACTTTCCATTTGATGTGAAAAAAAAAAAGAAAAAAAAAGAAATTATCCTAGACTTTAAGAAATTATCCTCGACTCACTTTTCTTTTTTGACATAAGTATTTTTAACTTATTTCTAAATACTCTAAAAATTGAAGCTATTAGCTCTTCGTCATATTTTTACAAGTATTATTTCCAAGTTAAAACAATTTTTTAATTTAAAATTTCTATGTAAGGATCTTGCTATGTTTCCCAGGCTGGTCTTGAAGTCCTTGCCTCAAATAATCCTCCTGCCTCAGCCTCCCAAAGTGCTGGAACTATAGGCGTGAGTCACCATGCTCAGCCTGTTTCCCAGTTTTTTGTGTGCCTTTTATTTGTTGTATTTTTTGACATATAGAAGCTTAAAATTTTATATAGTCAAATCTATTAACTCCTTTTTTTTTTTTTTTTTTTTTTTTT